GAGCCTGCGAGAGGACAGAGGGCGCGCGGTACCTAGTTACACTGTTATACTGTAAATTGATCGATTTCACATGCAGGTCGTCGGCTACCAAAACGAGAGAGCCAACCCTACCCCTCTAGGATCAAAAGAGCAGTGGCAGGTCTACGAATCATCATCAGGGATTTTTCCAAAACCATCTCCACTTTGCAACTCTTATGCAATGTAAATAAATTACTACATCGTCTAATTATTGAGAAATCAGCACCGAGCATCCTCACACCTCTACACAAGACTGAGTGTCTGTTTGTTAATTAGGCTCATATGGTAGAAATTACAATAACAGACTGAACAGACTTCGCCTTGGAGACAAAATATTGTAAATAACGTGCAATTACTAGCAATAGTTAAATTTATTAGAACAGAATAATAATTATGTTTTAATTTATACTTCTTTGTTTTGCAAATTTGATTTAAAGTTATTTTCATCACCATTAAATATAAAAGATTCAAATCTTCATATGAACAGTTCTCTCAGTTTATAACAGTTCTCTCGGGGTGAAGCTTTTAAAATATTGACAAATTTACCAAAAATTCTGTTTTCTTCAGTTTTTGGTTGCTTTCACTCTACAAAATGTTTTTCAAAACAAGTTGTAAGTTGGCAGCTCTGACCACATAGCTTAAACTGCCCCGGGGTCACATTATTAACTTACTCATGAAAATAATGACCCCTTTTAAAATTCCACTTACAAATCGCTAAATTAGTTATCTTGCACAAATTTTTTTCATTAATATTAATAAACATTTCCTAAAATGTTACATTTTTTTCCAAATGGTTCAAAAATTACATTTCAAAACATGTTAGAGAAAAAAAATTTTAATTTAAAATTTTGTTTCATTTTTATTAATATTTATTCTCTCAATATAATCTGAAAAACATTTTAATATGCTTAAAAGATTTTAATTGTTTAGAAAAAGAACATACTAATGATTCTTTTAAATTATTAATATGAAATTGTTCATTTTTGCCAATTTTTCAGTTAATCTTTAATTATTACATTATGTTTCTTTTTCACAGAACTGCATAGTAACATTTATAATTACTTTTAAAGTAAAAGAAAGATATACATTACCCAATGTATTACAAACAATTAACCAATTTTGTTTTATGTTTCAAAATATTTAATAAAAATAATGCTCCTAAACCACAAACAAACAATTTTTAAGAGAATTAAAAGAAAAGAAAACAAACGTTTTATTTTATAGAGAATTCATTTCGAAACCTAACCCACGTAGCGAATCGATATTATTTAATATTTGAAAACATGAACATTAGAAAATGTTAACATTAGAAAACATTCTTTCTAAAGATAAACATTAAAAAAAACGCAATCTAATACTGCTGTGGTAGAAAACACTGTACTCCTGGATTATATCTTCCAATATTAGAACTGTATTATATTAGATTAAATCGTATTCGATCTAACATGCGAACTTTTAAAATTATCATCTATTTCAAAAATTAAGGACTGAGGCCAATTTTTAGGGAAAGGGCACCTCTTATTATTAATTAATAAAAAATTATTTATGGAACATAACAATAAATTTAAATTTTTCATAAAATATAATTTTCAACGATGCAATTTCAGGGAGCGCGCTAAGTATTCGCCACATCGCCAAATGCGTTGAAATCGTAAATTTGGCGAAAAATTTGTGTTCTGGTGAATAATTTTTTTTTTATCGGAAAGAAAGTAATATATTTCTCTCGATAAAAAAGGGGAAAAAAACTGTCAAAAGGAATTTTTTTGAAAAAATCCAGTATTTTTTATTCGATTACAGTAATTTTCAGTAGAAACGTGGTATAACCAATTAGAATTATGTTTAGTCCAGATAATGTAAGCCTATATGAACATGAAAGATTATGTAGGCATGCATGAGACAAACTGCCATAAAATACGGAATACCACGTTCGTTGCCGGATCACGTGATGTCGCGCAACTAAATTCTTTCTTACAGTTTGTGTCGATAAAGCAGATTGAGCGGTAGTAAAATTCATATTATCATTCGACTATTTTTGCAGAAAATATGTTTTCTAGTGACAATTCGCGATAGCAACGGACTATAGGGGGCGTTGCTGTGTGGGACGAATTCCTACGTTTTGCATAAGAACAGTCATTCAGTTGCTCTGGAAATGTCTTTAGTGTAGCATTGTAACGTTCCTTCTTTATTGTGGCTTATTAAATTTAAAAAAGAAAAATATTTGATATTTTTTCTTTTGCAAGCGAAAACAAAATGGCGTCTCTTTAGAGAGAGAAGGAACATCCAAAACACATCGGAAAAATATTTGTAAATAAACAAGACAAAAATATGTATCTTCTTTTTAGAGTTAAAACCTAATGCCCAAAAAATAGTTTTACTTAATTTAACGATATAACATTAAAGGCCTATTTAAACTTTATATTTTACAGTTTTAAGAATCATATTACTTCAAACATTAAATTGAGAAAACAATATACACAAGACTATAATTTTATGTAATTTAATTTTGCAAAAAAAGTTTTTTGACACCAATTTTCACAAAAAAAATTTAAGTTTCAATAAAAACTATTTTTATAAACGAAAATACGCAAAATAAAGAATGCTTACGGAAAAAAATTATTCTAAAAATTCCTCAAATTAAAATTACAAAAACTTTCATGCTTTCTTTTATTATTAATCGGACGTAGAAAACCATTCTATCGAAAACTATCATCAAACTAGAGAAAAAAATATTTACAAGTAAATTTTTTATTATAAAAATCATAGCACACACCTGTTTTATAAATCCGCAGAATTCCAAATGAAATGCTCCAATGATTATGATAGAACTAAATGCCTGACATTTTCAGGCTCCCGCTAGAGGGCGTACTCAAGCGTTGCGATCGCGATTATCCTCTCTCCCATTCATAGCTCATTTATTCCTCCCCAACTTCAAAATGACTCTTGAGTTGAATTTGCATTTATAAAATAATTCAAACAAATTTCAGTGAATTTGTATTTTGATTTCAAGTTTTCTACGGGAAAAATCAATCATAATTTTTTTTTAAGATTAGCCTGTGTCTCATACTTTTGATATTTGGCTAATTTACTGAATAATATCTTGAAGTCCTTGGCGAGGGCTTGAATTTAATTCCAAATAACGTAACAAAATATTAGTGGAAGTAAATTTATTTCGTGAACGATAAGAAACTGGAAAAACTTTTTCATCTGTTGAGTTTTAACTTTATCGCGATTATTTACACTGCTATACTTTTCGCGGTCTGCAGATAGAATGAATCTAATTAATTTTAGAGATAATTATAATTTAAAATTTTTTAATAAGCTTTATAAATTTCAATAATAGCTAAATTTATAAAAAAAAAAAATTCAGCTTAATAAGTGCTAAATAAGAGTTTGATTTTAGGATAGTTTTCATTCGTTTTGCACACGAGGTATTTATGTTTCTTTCCATTCATTGGATCGGGAGTAGTATATATAATTTTAGGATGTCATGTATATGAAATAATAACTGTCAGGAGATTCAGAAGAAGATGACAGGCAATTCAAGCTATCAATAATAAAGTTAAAAGAGTTAAGGCGGATTATAATAGAATTTTTCTAAAGCTTGGTGAAATGCGTTTGGTTTAAGAATATTATAATGCATATCTAAATTCAAATATTCAGCTTGTACTTGATTTTTTTTTTAACGTATCTAGGAAATAGGGTAACTCTGAGGTAGATGACAGTAGAGGAGAAATGTCCAATTCAAATAATATTTGTTGATAGAGTGCAACTGATGCAGTTTCACAGGAAATAGTTTAACGAGTATATTAATTTAACCAAGCGGAACTTTTCGTGATAAAATATGTAAATTAAACAATAATAACTAAACTATAATGTTTATTTTATTTCGTGAATTAAGTATTTTATAGTTATTTAATAAGCAGGCTTTATTTTTCAGGTTATGTTCCTTAGGCTATATTAACGGTAAATTTTAGCATATTCTAGAAGTTTTGATAGTGCTTTGTTTCTCAGTGTAAGGTATCTATGGTTAACTGTATAAAATTTGCTAGTTACTACATTTTTAGTTTGTTGTTGTTGTCGTGGGTTATTAAGGCAAGGGGTGCGGCGTACAGGTGTGACGTATACACTCATACGTCACGCCTGTTTATAGAGCGGTCCCATTCATGCATACATTCATTGATCCAAAGATCGTAATTTTGACTTGAACTAGAGAGCGATTAATCGCAAATTCAGTTACCTCAGAGGTATAATTTGGAGGGGAACATGGATGACTTTGTGACCTGACAAATTTAATGTGCATCAATCACCATTTACTACACAGGGAATCTTCGGCAGGCTGGATTCAAACTCCCGTACTCACGAACGCAAATCCAGCTCCCTGCCAACGAGGCTATAATGGCCCATATTTTTCATTTTATTTATCCTTTACTGTGACAATACCGTAATAAATACCGGTTTAAATACCGTATGTTCTGCTTTTAAAAACCAGAATTGTTGTTTTTTTACGACAAATTTTAATTGCACCGTAATTTTAGCAGAATCTTATTATTTGAGTCTAGTGGATACTTTTTAAAGACAAAAATGAGGGAAAGCGTACGAAAAAAGGATCCTACAATGCTACAAATTAAACAATTGTCATAAAATTTTATGTAATAATTAAAAATAACTAAAAACGCTAATGAAGTTTAATTAAATGCTTTATCTAATATTTTATCGCATTTACAAGTTTACTTTCTTATGAGCTACATATTTCTAAGTAAAAATCATATTTATGCCATCATTTAAATATTGGTTGCCATGCCACAAAAGAAAAACAATTCTACCCACGTCTGTTTATTGTTGCACATTTTTTTATGCATCCTTCGCCCTCTCTAAGGAAAATATTTTGTATTTGATCCCTTAAACAACCATTTTCAATTTCGTGACGTCAGAAACGTGACGTCAGACTTCATGAGAAGAAGGAGTGGATCAATAAGAAATTTCCCAGATTCCAGGGTTTGTTTACTACTGCATCCGTACATAATGGATTGAATCACTTGTTTATAACAAAATCAGATTTGAATTCATTATATCAAATCATTTTATAACATCAGAGTATTTAATTATATAAAGTACTTTTCTTCGACTAATCGCAAGAAAATTTCAAGCTTTCTATTGCTTATAATCAAGTAAGATTCATTTTGTTTATATTTTTTTTAAATAATTTAACAACACAGTTTTGATCAAATTTCTAATCTTTTTAGAAAATTTAGCTCGTTTATCCTGACAATCATCAATATTATTGTCTCACTGACTAAGCTTGAAATCTTCTTTTCAAATCCTAAAATAGCTAAGTTAAAATTTTAAAGAGTTCAAAGTTAAATCACGTAGTAATGTCACTTTCATTTTTTGTTTTAGTTTTGAACTTTGAATATTTCACAAAAAATATTTCTTCTGACTTAGCATGGCAACATGATGATGTATGGAGAACAGCTCAATGCCGATATAAACAGAAAGACTTGTAAAAATGTGAAAGTTTTTGATCGAAAATGTTTATTGAAATTTCTCTTTCCTGGTTCTTTAAATAAGCTCTACATTTAAGAAAGGAAGCTACTAAGCCTGCTCCATATATTTATCAATAGGTTTTGAAAAGGAAAAAAAACATAATGTATTTACAACAGAGTTTTTTTCTTAAAAAATACAGAAAATAATGGAATATTTTTAAAAAAAAATATTTTGCTGCTTTAGCATGGCATCATTTTGATGCAAAGAGAACAGCTCAATGCTTATGTAAATAGAAAGGTTTGTAAAATTGTTTCAAATGATATCGACTCACAACTCGTTATAGAGTGCATTCAATGTTTAGTTTTCACTTTTCCATAACTCTATCAATTGTAAAAAACATTTTTTTTCAAGTTATGCGGATTCATTTAACTAGTCATTTCATTAACAGTCAAACAATTTTTGAAAAGTTTAGATCGTGAAAACATAACTAACTAATTAAACTAACTGCAATTGTGTTTTAAGTTTTATAAAATGGCTATAATTTTTATAAAAAGGCACTGTTTCTTTTTCATTCCGTCATTACAATGTTCAATGCGGCCGGGATAGCCTGGTTGGTAGAGAGCTGGACTCACGCGTGTGAGAGCGGGAGTTCGAATCCAGCCTACCGAAGACTCCCCGTGTAGTAAATGGTGACAGATGCACATTAAATCTGTTGGGTCACAAAGTCCTCCATGTTCCATATATACCTCTAGGGGTACAAAATTGGAAATTGATCTTTCTCTGGTTCAGATCAAAATTCATACATATGGGAGAAGGGCTTGATGTATGAATGGGTCCACCATATAAACGAGTGTGACGTATGGGTATGACAGAAGGCAAATTCTGGGTCACAGATGGTGGCACTGAAAAAAACAAGAGCAATCGCACTCACTATGCTTTAACGAAAACAACAATGTTCAATATCAAGATGTAAAGTAAAATAACTCAACATTTTATTCACATCGAGTTGAAATTTGGTTTATAAATGGATTTTATGCCTGAAAAATTTTAGATCAGTTTCCAAACACTGAGCTATCCCGCTTTAAACTATTCTGATGATGCAGTCCAAAAACAAATCTCAAAGTTTAATCAGTTTTCTCTTTTAGAGATGAGTTGTGATGTTCTTTCCTTATCCTTTTTTTATTAATAAATACGTGATTTTGTATAGAAATCAAATTTTCAGAAAGCAAACTTTTTATTTTAACGCAAAATATTTCCTAACACTTCACACACAGCATATTTTTGTCTCATTTTCATCAAAATAAAAATCCATATATAACATACATTTAGAAATTGAGAATCTAATTAATGTATTTAAAGTACAACAATTAAACCACATTCAGTAGGAATATTCCCTCAGTTTGCAAAAGTAGTGTATTGTATATTATTATCCTTTGAACTTTTTATATTATTTTATTTCTCTGAAAGAGATATTCAAAATATTAGTTCACGGGAAAACTATGAAATCTGAAATTAAAAATTGTGGGACACAGGAAAATATATCACCGAAAAATTATGAAAATCAAGAGTTAAAAGATTAACAACCAGCAACCGCGCAACGATAACTTTTAGAATGATGTAATTACTCGAGGCTGACTCACTGTGGTCGAAATATACGATTTTCCTTCGTACTCATCCCTACCGAAAAACACTTTTTTTTTCTTCCACATTATCTTAATTGTTATCATGTGTGTGTGTGTGTGAGAGAGAGAGAGAGAGAGGGGGGGGGGAGATCTTTTTATGTTAGTTCTGTATGTTCAATTAATTTTTTTATGTTAGTTCTTTTCTGAATATCCTTTTCTTTATTTTATTAATCTAATCGAAATGCTTTCTCACACTTTTCACATCCTGTCCTTAAATCTATTTTTGGCTCAACTATGCATTAATTAAAAGCTGGACATTTTTCCCTTTAATCTTCGTTCGTTAATCTTATCTTTTACCTAACATATAACCGAGGAGCGCAACATTTCGTGTACACTCCCATGACTGTTTTGTCTTATAATTAATAAATAAATTTTGTACCCTCCTTCCCTGCCTAAGACCTGTTTTAATCCTTCTACTCGGCGACAAATATATNAATTATCCCTTTCACCCACTGTCTAAATTTCTCAGCAAACTGTTTTGGAGTTGAAAAGGAACACACACAAAAACAAACAAGCTTTTTATTTTGTTAGTGTAAATGTACAGTCATTTCATTTGTTGAATTTTAATAATATATTTATTTAATTACATATTATATTTTAAAATAAGTACTTTTGATTTTAGCCCTTGATTGACCGTAGAGAAATATGGCCCAAAGCACCTTACCTGAAGTTCTCAGTTCAATTACCAATGGTAACTTTTTTCATACAAAATAAAAAACTTTTGTATACTCAACTCTGCTTGTGTTTCGTGTATATGTTACTGTAAAAGCCCGAAGTCCGGTAAATCCTACGTGTTACAGGTAAAATCTAAGTTTTATCAAAGGGCCTGTGTAAAATCCGAAGTACGCTTTAATATGATTCTAATTCGGACTTTTACGAGGCCTTTGTGGTAAAACCTAGAAGTTACCACTACCTTCCATTAAACATGGAAGCGAAGGATTACTTAAGATAGGAATTTACATTCGCTGATATATTGGGTACTGTTCTGTTGAAGAGGCCCATAAAGAAACTGCCAAACTGTGGGATGGGATTCCGGGACCACAAAGGTAAACCCTCGATTCAACTGTCAGTATAGAGAATAAAGGAGGAAATGGCACTCAACCTTAAAAAAATCAATATGCGGTTTGTTAGACAAACGTATACCAGAAAGTGGTATTTAACCTCAAAATAAAATCAGCCTAAACTATAGCGGGCAAAGGTAAACCGGGCAGTGGCACTTAACCTTACAAAAATATCAGTGTGGGGTAAACTGGATAATGACACGCACATCCCTTGATTAATCAGATTATTAAAAACAATAAACAACGATTATTAATGATTGATTACTATATTTTGTGTTTAATTTAATGAAAAAATTAAGCCATCTCCAACTGCTCCCTCTGCCGGAAGTGTACCTTATGTTGTATACAGTGTGTCTCAACAGGGTTAAAACACACTTACATACTCTAATTTTTTAAATGGTAGTAAAAATTTTAATTTATCAAGATAAGGTATGATTTTTAAGATTATATCTATGGAAATGTCTTACTATTATTTTTAAAAGGAGAGGGAATAAACTCATAAGGGAATAAAATCAATATTGATACCATTTCACAAATAAAATCTCATGTGAAAAAAGCTGAGCTAATGTACAATTCTTTTGATAACTACTGAAGAGATTTATATAATTTTTAAAAACAATAATATTTCTGTCTATAATTTGTAATAAAATAAATAGATAAATAAGTAAATAAATAAAACTTGTCTCGAGGGCTTGTATTGGAAAGCGTCTCTACCGCAAAGACTTGATAAAAGGAAAGTGATTCATATGAAAGTGAAATGGAATTGCGAAATTGGAACGAAATAGAATTATATTAAAACATACTTCGGACTTCTCCCATCACCCATCTGCTTTGGTAAATCCTCATTTTTTCTGGTAAAACCTAGGATTTATCAAACTACGAGCTCTTACAGTAACATAAATAAACTGTCTCACTCATGATGTTGTTATTTCAGAATATTTAAGCGTTGCATCACAACACTGCTCGTGTTTAGGAAACTTCTGTAAAAATTGTCAGAGATCTGAAATTGTTTACTGATTTAATGAAAACTAACCACTTCTTTATTTACTGTTTGTTATTAGCTGCTGCATTTTAGTAGCAGTGAGCGTATGAAAGAATTAACTACCAGTTTCGAAGATTGCACGAGATAGAAACATGCTTTTTTTATAAACGTAACTATTCCTTACTTTTAAATATGTGGTTGACTTTACATGTATTTTAGGAATATTGACGACATGTGATATTTCTTTGTTATCTCTTTTGTTGAATGTGTTTTCTTTAATCTCGTATTTTTTTATTAGTTGTTTATGTTACGTATTAAATCATAGCGTGATATACTTAATAATGTTAATAATCTATGTATCATTAATAACCGATTATCTATTTTAATTATCCAAATTAGAAGAAAGGGGGGAAGGTAGCCTGTCAGTTCTCTTTGAAGTAGACAAGAGAACAGATGTTTGAAAGGGTAAAACCTTTTGGGGGGATTCATTTACTATTTTTGATTTAAAAAAAGATTTGACAATGACATGGGGTTAAATTGGAATCCATGGATTATTACCATGGATCATTTCAAGGAGGTTAACTTTGGAAGAAAAAAAAATGCTGCTTGATGTGGGAGCTTAAATTAAATTTGAAAAATTATTACTATTTCAATGTATTTTGATATCTATTATTTTATAACACATATGCTCGTTTATTCAAGAATTGTGAAAAATCAATGAATTTTTTTTCTTAGATGAACTTTATTTATAATCAGCATCAATTAAACGAATAGTTTCGAATTTCGTCTTTTTTCATAGAAAACTAAAACAAAAAACTTTCAAGTAAACAAAGCTTCAAAACTGTTTTTTTTTTTTTTTTTTTTTTTTTTNTCTTTTCTTTTCTTTTTTTTTTTTTGTAATCGCATGCTTTAAAAAAAGTAGTTAAAATTAGAGTAAAGGAAAATTGATTTTACATATAATGAATAATGTAATTGTTGTTGTTGTTTTTAATCTTGCTGTTTTTGTATCTTTATTTTCAATAATTTAACAACAGATTGGATAAATTGCAGTTCTACATTATAGCAATTTTACATTTTATATACATTATTTATAATTATTTAATATGTTCTTCAGTAGAATTTGAGATTTTGATAGCGTAATCGTCATAACAAAAAGAGAATTTAAAGACAAAATAATTCCAAAGCATAATAGATAGATTACTTGTGATTCTATATGTAGATTTATTTATAAATACCTCTTATTTGAAATAACTAATAATTATAAGTACACCAAAATTTTGGGTTTTTGACGTTTGTCAAGAACTGCGTCAAAAAAGGATTTTTAACATGGATAAAACCATGGTTAAAACCCGATAAATTGTCAAAAACTTGCCAACCTTGTTTCCAATTCTATAATTCAGTTCATGTCAGAATTTTTGGATGTGTTATAATTCAGAATAATAAGAATTCGCATTAAATAAAGTTATTTCACTTTGTTGTATGATTTTTTAGCACCTGAAAAAACAACTATTATCGTCTTACCTCAAATGGAACTAGGACCCGACCCAATACAAATACAATGTGGTAACTGTCGCCAAACAGTATTAACAAAAACTGTTCCAGTAAACGGTGCTTGTTCATTCATATGTTCAATATATATCTGTTTTATCTGGTAAGTTCAGATTTATTCAATATCATGAAACTGAAATTCACTGAACTATATTTTGCTCAATTTCTTAATAGAAGTTCGTAATACCTTGTTGATTTCTTTCCGGAAAAAGCTATAACTACAAAATCATTAGATTTAATTGAAGCATTACACTTAATTGAGATTAAACCTTAATGCACAGAATGTAATAAAAATGTGTAAGGTAAAATTTTCTTTTAAACCTTCCAAAAATTTAAATCATAAACCTAGTTTTTTTTTTACGTTACTTCTCATTAATGCATAAGGTCTCGAGTCTTGTTCTTATCTTCTTTGGTTCAAAGCTATTCTGCTTGCTAAGCTCACGCTAGAGAGACCATCCAAATATGTTTCGATCTTCCTCAACCTTTCTTCGACATGTAAGTTTAGATATTCAGTAATTTTATTTTTCTCTCGGACGTCCAGGTGAAAGCCACGTAGAGGAACCCGATGGATGGCTTTCTTCAACTATGTCCAATCCATATCCATTTTCCATTTTTAATTTTTTCAGTGATATATCAGGTACTCCTCGTTTTCGTTTTCCCTCTGACTTCTAGGTAAGATTTACAAGAAAAAGATCGGAGGAAAGCCTTCTTAAAATATTCCCAATCCATGTCCATCTTCTATATTTAATTTCTTCAGTGATGGTTCTGATACCCCTTGTTTTCTTTTTCCCTCAGACGTCCAGGAAAGATCTATGTGGAGGAGCTCGGTGGAAGGCATTCTTAAAATATGCTAATCTGTGTCTTTTCTAAATTTATTTTCTTCAGTGATGAATCTGGTATTCATATTTTCTTTCTCCCTCGAACGTCCAGGCAAGATCTAGGTGTAGGAGCTCGGTAGAAGACATTCTTAATATATGCTAATCTATGTCTATCTTCTATATTTAATTCCTTTAGTGATGGTTCTGATATCGATTGTTTTCTTTTTTCGTCAGGCTTGCAGGAAAGATCTATGTGGAGGAGCTTGGTGGAAGGCATTCTTAAAGTATGCTAATCCATGTTTAAGTTCCATAATTAATTTCTTGAGCAATAGATCGGGTTTAGCGATTTTATAGTATTGCTCATTTAAAATAGCACCAAGGAAAAAAAATATTAAATAATCAGAGAAAGGACTTAATTTGAAAATTCTTCAAAGAGTTTTCGCACGATGTGGTTAGTTTCTAAATCTCACAACCACACATCTGGCCTGATTTTACTGAGAAACTTAAATGGTGTTGTCTTGAAACAAAATTTTTCAAATACTTGAATAAACGCATTTATAAAAGTTTTTGTAAAGGTTAGTTTTGTAAATGCAAGCGTATAAAATCATACTTTTGCCGAAAGGATGGCAAAAGGTAGTGAACCAGAATGGGTAATATATAATTCAATAAAATGATTATTCACTGTAAGAAAATAGCTTTTCGTTTTCTTAAAAAAATTATAATAATAAATATTCTAATTATTTTCAGAACAACACAATGCATTCGATATTCTTAATTATTTATTTATTCATTTATTTATACCTTTTTGCAGCACCTGTTTGTTTTGGGTACCTTTATGCGTCGATGTCTGGAAAGATGTTAGACATCAATGCCCATTGTGTCATGTGCATCTTGGAACCCACAGAAAAATATGAAGAAAAAAACAAAGAAGGAGGAAATATACTTGTCATTATTACTTTTTCATTTATGAAAATTTAATAAGTATTCCAGACGGAAAATAAAACTCTTAAATAGACTTTTAAAAGTAACGTTCCATTCATGTACGTCGTGTAACTGTGGAGGTCTGTGCATGTATAATTACACCTAAACTTGAGTACGTACTTGTAAGAGAATTAAATAATGGAGACTCTTAGAAATGTCCAATTATTTATGGAGATATCCATATAAATTTACCTACTTTAAGTAACGTCTTAACCATTTTCCTCTTAAATTTTATTAAGAACGAAGTTTTAAAATCACAAATAATAAAATTTTATTGAACACCTACAAGTTTTTCGATGTCACATTCGTACATCTTCATCAGTAGGAGTATATACTGGAATGATAAAAACAGAAATGATAAAAATCAAACAAGAATGTGTCATACTAAGAGCGATAAATATACAGTTAAAAGAAATAAATAAATGGTTAAAAGGCCCAAACAATTAAAAAAATCATGCCATTCAACTATAATTTATTTTTAATACCGGGCCTGTAGCACATATCTTGTTCAGGTACAATATTGTGGCTGATCATACAAAAAGCATACTTTTTTTAATTTTAGCAGTCCCACAAAACTATATTATTTTTGTCCAAAAAAATTTGTATTTTATTTTATCTACCTTAGCTCTAATTTCGAATGTAAGCATGTAAGTACGATAAGGTCATAATTTCCAAACTTATTGATTAAAAAAATTACTTAGCAATAAAAAGGAAATAATGATTTTGACCATATGTTGGGAAAGCCAAAAATGGTCACTTACACAGTATATGGAAGTTGTTGCACTGTAAAAAATAAACACTCAAATTTCACGAAACTTTCTTCGTTTTGAAGAAACCGTTTCCTGGTATATGCTCCTAGCGAACATCTCGTCAAAGTGACGAAATATCGTAACTTTTTCGAGGAAACGAATTTCGTCAATATTAAAGAAATATTGAATCATTTTATTTTTTTTTCTTACAAGAAAAAACGATCTTTTTTTATCATTTTATCGTGAGATAGAGCTATATCAGTGTCGCCTTAAAAACAGAAAATGGACAGATTAAATAGACAGATAAATTATATCCCTGCCTGAGGCTAGATTCGATCCCGGGATCTTTCTGGTATGAGGCCAACTCACTGACCATCAAGCAGGACGTCCGGCTTATTTAGGCCATCTAGTTTCCACTCTAGTTCCGTCATTTTAGTTAAGTATAGTTGATTATCGGCCACAGTGCACGGCGATGAGGTTCCAAGTTGACGAAACGTGTTCTTCATACATTTGAGAGTTCGTATTTCGTCGTAAGACATGTGATTTCGTGATGAAATGATTCTCAAAATTAACGAAATATAGCCCAATGATTGTTGAATCGTCAAAAATGAAAGTTTTAGTTTTGAGAGTAGGATAACAATCACATACACTGAATGCAAATTATTACACTTGTCCAAATTACAACACTCTTCCTTTTTTCAAATGCTTGGGGTGTCGGATCATGAAAAGTTTTAACTGCATGACATCTGGTTATTGTAGTTTTATAAAAATTTTAAATTATTTTTCGAACGAAAGGCATGATAAACCTATTTTAAATAAGTTATTAAATTGTAAAACTATGTTCATAAAAAAATTTAAGAATTGCCTTTATAATAAATCTTTCTATTACTGCAGGTGATTAAACACTTTGCTTTACTATTTCTTGTGATAGTTGCGGAAATGAATAATTTAAATAATTATTAAAAATACCAGATAATTAGTTTTCTAAGAGTAACACTGCTAGAATAAATTTACGCGTCTACTTCAAGTGTCGTGTCATCTTAAGGCCTTTTTTTAAATACAAAAACAAGATGAATAAAAAAAAATAAAAAATCGGTACAAATATTTCAAATTATAACATAAACTAAAAAAAAATTATTTTAATAGTTTTTTCGCCCTGGTGCAATTATTTTTTTGCAATCGTGTGGATTGTGTAATATATATTACATTTATTAATACTTTATTAATAAGCTATTTGTAAAATTGATTGTATATTTGTTGAATATTTACATTTATAGTTTAACAATATAATATATATTTTGATATTAACTTGACTTTGTTAAAATACTACAACAAGATGAATAAAAAAATTTGAAAATATGTACAAATATTTATAATTATATCATAAACTAAAACAAATTGTCGGATTTTTCGTTGTGAAGCAATTTTTATTGTGTGGAATGTGCAATACATAGAAAATAAAATATTCATAATAAAAAGCTATTTACAAAATTTATTGTATATTTGATGAATATTTACATTTATTGCTTAACAATATAATATATTTTTTTATATTAATTTGATATATCTTTAATTTATTTGAATTATTTTTCTATAGAGCAATGATATTTGTATCAAAAAGTATTTTTCAATAATTCTTTAATAAAAGTGTAAATAAATTTTAAATTTAAAAGCTTGTTTTTTTAAAACAAAATTTTTATTTTTCAAAGGTTATTCAACATAGTTATTCCATAGTGATACAATGAATAAATAATAATACCCAATAATTACTGGTTAAATCCAATAATTCCATCTTTTCTTGGAAAAAATGTATGACTTAGTTTTCTAATAAGAAGCGAAGATACTTATTGTATGTAAGCCCAGAATGTCCGAAATTATCCTTGAATGCTCAAATCAAGTAAAGTTAAACTTAGAAAGAAAAACTTCGGAAACGTCACATTGTGAACATGAACAAATATTGGTATAGAATTGTGTTATTTGATGAAATTTCATAACGTTTGGTTCAAATCATTATACTCTAAGGGTAGGTGTGTATGTGTCGATTATTGATTTTTGTTTATGATCTTATTCAACAATACTGTTGCCAAATATTTTAGAAAGCAACTAACAAGAGCGGTATAAAAACTTCAAAACCAGTTTGATTGCCTTAGAATACTTGGTTGTGTTTCGAATGATTCACTTTAAATCTCTGTTCACTCCCTCCGGCAATCAAAGATATCTTTGATGTTCTCTGTTCACTCCCTCCGGCAATCAAAGATATCTTTGATGTTCTCAGTTCCTTCTTTTTTTATATGGCTTTTATGACTTCTAAACTACTTGTGTTTTTACCCTTGCTTTAGCGACCACATATATCTTTAAATCTGCTAATTCATTTTTAATAAGGATTCAAAAAATAAGTATTAACCATGGTTATTGCCGATAATTTCCTATTTCATAAAATTCTAAATCTATACTCTAAACTAATTTGAGCATAAAGTTGTTTAGAATTTTAAAGTTAACCAAGAAATTAAAAACTAGAAAGAAACAATTTTAAAAAAAAATTCTAGTATTAAAAATCAGAAAAGTTTTGCTATGGTAAGACTAAAATGCATTGCTTATTATAAATATTTTACTTTTTTTTTAAAAAAAAATAAAAGTAATTTCTAAATTTTTATGAGCTAAAATTGCATTATTAAATTCGTTTGAAAACTAAATTTTGTTTCCCTTACAATGTTTTCTCTGTGCCTAATGTTTGATAGTAAACTCATTTAATTTAATAATGAAACTAATACATGGAGAAACACTTGACATAAAATTACCACACTACATGGTAATAAGATTTTTTGTCAGAAAAACCATAGTTCTGGAATTGAAAACCAAAATATTCGATATTTAAACCATTCAACTGATAATTTTTCTCTTCATATGATAACGGTTAACTGGAAATTTTGGTTTTTAAAATTATAGTTCTTATAATCACACATTTAGTAAAAAATATGAAACTGGAAGAAAAAAAAATTTAACCGAATAAATCGTTTTAAGGAATCATAACAAAGTTACCAAGTTTTGCCTTACATTTGCTGAATTTTATCACAGATCGTAAAATTATATTTTATAGTTAATGTAACCAAATTTATTATCATAAACTACCGAGGTTTTACGTGTTCCCATAGAGCAAATTTTACTGTATTCTGGTAGTTTTGACCAATATTTTTTTTCTCTCAATTTCTCAGTCAACTAAAAAAGTTGAGAAAAAATAATTTTGATCTGTTTTTCATTTTTTTTTCATTTTTTTTGTGTGTGTGTGCTCCTCACACTATTGTATTGATATTGATTTTGTGGATATAATCATGTGGGTTGATGAAAAGATTTCGAATGTTTATTAATATTTTCTCTTGACTTTTATTAATATTTTTTATAATTCATTTTCATTATTATTTTTTACCTTTCTTTTTTCATTATTCTTGTAATTTTTTCCATTTTATCAATATATATATATATATATTAGTCTTTCTTTTATTTATATTTATTGGTAGTGATTTATCCGATATGAAGCTCGGAAAATTTCTTTTCTGCACTATGGCATATATAGTTTAAAACTATAAATTTTTTCAAGTTTAAAGCAAAACTATGACTTTTTTTTTCTTTTTCAAAACAGCTTCCACAAATAACTTAAAGTGTCTTGCCTTTTTTTTACATTACATTCTGATTATTTCTTTCTTGTTTCATAGTTTATTTTTCGTTCTTTTTTATGTTTGTTGCAATCCTGTTAACTATATAGCTAAACGTAGATATTATAGTTGAATATATATTTAAATATATATAGTTAATTATAAAAAAAATATTATATTAAATATACATAATTTTGTAGTATATAATTAAATATTTATAGTCAAATGTATTACGTTCTTGATATACATGATGCAGTGAAACAAGCAAATTTATACATGAAAAAAATAAAAATCGTATTTTTTTTATGTAAATTAATATTCTTCTTTTTCAATGATGAATCATTAAAAATATGTTATCAGCATTTATAAAAATATTGTTCAGATATATATTGATTTTATTATTGCATACACATATGTATTCAATTTTTGAACCATTTGTATAGGTCTTACATAAGAATTTGATTATTTTTATTGTGTAAACAAAATCGAATAGTTTTATGTCTCATACTATTTGTTAACGTTAATAAATATCTTGTATGAAACTGCTTCATGTTTATTTATTTTCATAAGCATTAATTATTAAATTAATACTTAATGCATACTTCAATAAATACCAAAGAATACCTAATATTCAATGAATGAATGCTGCATATGAGGAATGAATTTCTCCCTATGCAGCATTTGACAATTATTCAATTTTTTGAAGAAAGCTGATTTATTGTATAAATAATATTCATTTAGTGTAAGCTAAACAATGCATTGAAAATTTACAGTGAAGCAAAAACAAAACATTTTATGTATAATTAAAAAAATTATTAAGATTTGAAAAATTTAAAAAAAAGTTTAATGATATGTTTAAGATAAACTTCAAGTTAAATGCAACAGTTAATAATTCTCAAACCTTTTTTTATTTTATTACAACTTATTACTATTTT